GCACTCCGACGCTTTTCCGCGATCCAGGAAAGCTCGGAGTGGGCGTTCACACTTCCTCGAACTTGGAAGGGATAGCAAAAATGATGTTTCTATTGGATGACAAATACTGAGTAGAAGTGGCAAAAAAAGTGACGTAGTGAAAATTGGGTTTTTCCCAAAATGACCGTAGCGAGTAATAAACCTAAGGAGCACCTCGACATGAATGGAAAATGCAAACAAAAGACTCTACGACTACGGCTAAGGGTTCTGACCCCAGATGTACTGGCAATAAATCAAGAAAAAACTGGCTAGAATGTAATGACTCCTTGGGTCCTATTTCTGCTACGAGTCAAAAGCTATTGAAAGTAACAAATGTTGTTTTCTGAAGGACCTAAAAATTATAAACTATTGTGTCCAAAACTTGGCCTGAGGTCTAATCCTCTCTAATGTATTCTACAATCTAACACTACCAGATGCAAAAGGCGTAATCGGCGGGCACACATAGAAAAAAATAATAATAATAATAATAATAAAAAAATATACTGATCGAATTGAGTAACCTCCTCCTTTTTCGAAATCGGTTAAAAATAAAAGGAATCAGAGAATATTTTAGAGTAAAATTCCTTTGTCAAACCATTTATGTATTCACAGATATATAGATATTACATTTTTTTTCATTAGAGTTGAAAGATAAGTAGTTACAAGCGAAAATTAAATTTAATCTATTTTCATTTATCATTCTACATTTTTCGTTTAAAAAAAATCTGTTTTTAGGTCATAAAAGGCAATTCTAATTACAGTAAAACGAACCAAAGGTGAATGGAGCTCCACTCTGAAAATTACATTCTGTTGTATGCATCTTACAATATTGCTTTATTCCAATTTTATAAGTAAACAACTATCCACACATTTATTATACTTAAGATTGATAAGCATAATAAAGCATGATGTTTTAATTAATTTAATAAGGAACAAAATCATACGATGCTTCTCAAAGACATATACATATTGAATTATTTACAGAAACACGGAAACTGGTAATATATTTGTAACAAACAACTTTATATGTACATATGTATATTGTTATTTAATAGATCTTGTTTAATATTTTATATTACTGTTAAAAATGTACGAAGTAAAAAAATAAATATTCTAAAAGATATTAAGTATGTACACATTCAGCTATTAAAAAAATATACACATAATGATTTAACTAAATATTTTGAGACTTTATTATACATTTTTAATATGTTCCAGCAAAATGAATACAAGAATGTAACTAGTTATAAAAATTTACCAAATTAAAAATTTAAGAAACAAGATGTTAAAATAATTTTATTACAAAAACAATAAAATTGAAATAAGACATTATATGACAACAGTATCAAAAGTATTTCTAAAATATAAAAATATTTTATAATCTTAAAAAATGTAGTTGTATGCTTGTATTCAAATAATATGTTTAGAAAATTTCTATTTGATTTACATAAATAGCAGAATTCCGTTTATTTACACTCCACTGATTTCAAGATGTTACTATTACAATTATACAAACTCGTTTAGCATCCATTTCCACTTAATACTTCAAATACAATATTACAATTAATCATTGACTCCAATTATACAAACATCAGCTTCTATTATATAAACGATTAGATGGTAAAGATTAGCGAGAATTGATAGAGTTGTACTATTTGAATTATTCGAACCATTTTATCTCTCAATCAATTTGAATAAATAGAATTCTACTATATTTTTTAATTATTTGCTATGTAACTTTTCAATACAAACACTGAGTTGTTGAAGACGATGTAGCAGATGACGCATATTAGCACTTGAATGTCGAAGACCTGACTGTTCTCCTCCAATATCTTGTCTTTGTACTAACTCAAAATGAAGCCTGGCTAATCGTTCTTGCTGTTCTCGTATTTCTGTCATTTGTTCCATGCTGCAATCCTTTCCTAAAATGAAATTTTGTTTATGTTAATATTTAGTTATAATCATAATATAACATAAAATCATATTTAACGTACCAAATGCACGCAAATTCCCACTATGAAAATCTTCTAACAATTGGAGTAAAGCTTGTTCCATATGTCGAACATCAGGAACCTCTGACAAAAAGCAATGATGTTTGCATGGCATCAAGGCTTTATTTTATGACACCAAAACATAACCAAAAAATGTAACGAAAATAAAAGTTATAATTTATCACAAAATGATACACTAACAAAAGAAATAGTGATACTAAACATAATGACAAAGTAATTGTAATAGAAATTGAGTAGACACTATTTGTTATGAAAAGGAAATTCCATTCTTTAAGAAGATTAAACTTAAATTCAATTACACATATGTAAATAAATTTGATTAACGTAAAAATCTTAACATATTTTTCATTTTTCAAAAAATAAAACAATTTACCTTTCATTTTTCCTTTTTTCTCTTTTAATTAATATAATATTTTTATTGTTAGTTTAAATTAATTTTTGGTAAAGTACTTTGTATTTTATTAAAATTAATAATAAAATTTTTAATAAAACAAGAAGTTATAAAATAATAAATATAGTGTATAAATTTAATTTATTGAAAATAATATTATCATAATAATTATTTTAAGCAAAATTTGAAAACACTGTTACATTATATAAAAATACCTTTGTGCTGACGATTAAGTTTTGATAATTCTGGGCGACTTGGTTTTTGTTTTTCTTTTTCATTCATGTAAATTAAGCGAGACTGATTTCCATGATTTGAGAGATTTACTGCACGACCAGAAATCATAGATCCTTGACTTGTTGCTTGACCAGAACTTCCTTTACTAACCATAGGTGATATTTGAGCATTAGGTTCCCATAGTACTTGCTGCTAAAGTAATACACGTTTTTTGTAAATTTATATTTTTTCTTAAATACTCTATCTTGTACATATGTAAAGTATTTAACTTCTCTTTTATAAACAAACTTATTTTGAGATAATGTAAAATAAAAAAAATAAATAATGCTGCTAGAAAAATAACACAGTTTGTATGCATTTAAGAAAAAGGACAGAAAAATTTTAATTAGAAAATTAATTATTCAAAAGATATCTAATTTTAATTCTATTGTATTTGTGACTTTTTAGTAATCAAATAACATTGTTAAGCTTATTTTATTACGTTCTTTCTATTTAAGATTATAAAAAATAGGTTTAAATTCTTATCTTTATTGTCATATCTAGTGAAATTGTCAATAAAAGGCATCATCATGGATTTTTGATCTTTATGCATATATAGTATATTGTCTAGAATAACATTCTGAGTAACTTTTTCCTATGAACATAATCAAATAGTCAGGCTTAGTTTCAGAGATATTTGCAAATGTATTTTTAGTGTAATAATTATTTACAAAAATGCACACATCATTGATTTAAAAGATTCTAATATATGTTATATAATAGAATATCTCTTGAATAGACATAAATTTTCAACAAAAAAAAAACAACTTTTATTTTTCAGTAAATGGTCTAACTAAGAAATAACACACTAGTTCAATATAAGTACAGGAATAGAAGTATCATTCATCTTATAAATCAATTATTAAAAAATGAATGCTTTCTTGATTGCAAAATGAAGTTTCTATATATATCTTCTATATGTATATATTCTAGTTTCTATGTATAAATACGAGGTGCGATCATTAAATTCCGGGACTGGCCCCGTATATGCAGATAAAGTCACGTGTTTCAAATTTGGCTACTATCCCCTTCAAAGTAGTCCCCTTGTGCAGCTATGCACCGATCCCAGAGCCTCTGCCATTTTTAGAAAGCTTCCTAGAAGTCTTCTTGTTGAAGCGTGTCAAGCACCTGCTGCGATTCGCGTTGAATCACGTCCACCGTGTCAAATCGGCGACCCTTGAGCTTTAATTTCATTTTGGGAAACAAAAAGAAATAATAGGATTCCAAATCTGATGAATACGGAGGGTGAAGATGTTTCTTTTTTTTTATGTCCCTCGGTTTCAATTTGGAGTCCATCGTGATTTCGCAAAAAAGAGCGTGCGTACGCTACCATAAACTTGTATAACACAGCATTCAATGAAGATATCGCTTCCCAATTTCATGTCATATGTCTCGAAGATGTTCTTATGTTCTGCGAGCGCATGTCAATCGTGTCATTCGTTTGGTCA